CAATCCTTTGTAAAAAATGAATGTAAAATTTATACTTGCCCAATTAATGAAGAACTAATATAGTATATTAACATCAAGAGCCCTGCAAGAATTCAAGGAGTGAGAAATTCATTTGCATTTGGAAAATGAACCCGAAATTGATCAATAAATACAATCATCCCATTTTAAAGATTCTATAATTTTAAAAACACATTTTTTTAAAGAATTAGATTACTGACAAGGCCTGCTTCGGATGTTCCCTAAGCTGGGAATGGCAGTGTGTGCATTGTAATCTCAGCACGAGGGAGACTGAGGCTGGAGGATCCCCAGAAATTCAAAGCCAGTGAGTCCAAGACAAACCTGGGCAATTTATCAAGATCCTGTCTCAAAAGAAAAACAAAAGCATCACCGCCCTCGGCATGGGGAAACGTGCTGTAGCTCTAGCACTCAGAAGGAAGAGGCAGGAGGGTCGCTGTGCATTCAGAGTGAGTCTTCACAGCAAGTTCTCAACCAGCCAAAGGTACATAATAAGCAAGGCTCCCTTTTAAAAATTAAGTAATCATCTAACTAATCGACAAATAAATACCCCAAAATAATAAAAAAGGGGGGGTGTCTTCTAGAGAGGCATCTTTCCTTTTTCCTATATGTCAGAGTGCTCCAAACTGATTCTGAACTGTATTCAACAGTAGTGGCATTCTCCTGGCTCAAAGCCAGGCAGGGACCATAAAAACTTCCTCACCAGCAGGTGGCAATGTTGTCACATGAAGCCACTATGGTGTCGTGAAAGCCTGATACCTCCTAAAGGGGGCAAAGGCCTTACTTCCTTATGAAGTTAGGTCCTTGTAGGCTGCCCCAAGAAGTGATTTCTCTACTGTCCCACAGGACCCGGGGGAGAGAGAGAGAGAGAGAGAGAGAGAGAGAGAGAGAGAGAGAGAGAGAGAGAGAGAGAGAGAGATCTGAATTGGGGTACGCTGGGGGGCACATACCTTTACATGATTGTACTGCCCTGTCATAATAGCCCAAGGATGTCTCAGTCACCGCTGAGACATTTGTCTTCCCTCTGGATCGTGTTGTTTTAAAAGACAGAGACCCTACACCTTTGTGACCAGGCCTTTACTGTCTATTGTAGACGCAGAGTGCTCAGATGACTGAATATACTTAAATTCTCCCAAGGCAGTCAGTCCTACCCGAAAGAATAACCCGAGGTCATCTACGGATCCCTCTGTAGATGCTCAGAATGAATCCCGAAGCCATGGTGATTCAGTGGGGACTTCAGCCACCCAGGACCCTCAGAATGGAACAAACTAAAAGAAGTATCTCAAACCAGCTGGTTTAGACTCTGAAAACTAAAATAACCTTTATCTTGACATGGGCATTCTACTAAAGGGTCACGGCTTAAGTAACAAAGTTGTTAGCCTGACCTCGAAGCGGTTTCAATGAAATGGACTCAGTAAATAGTCAATTGATGGCTTTTTCTAAGAATGCCACAGTGACCTGAGGGCACAGCCATCATTACAACTCTAGAGATGGAAGCTGCATGTATGTAAGATCTGAGGAGCTCGGAGGACCCACGACTTTGCTATGAGCCAGCTGTATATCTGACGTCCTAGAGTTAGCTCTAGGCCCTTGGGATTAAATCAACAATTTCTAATACAACCAGAAACCAATAAGGTGTTTGGCCATGTAAAATAAGGAAAGAAACAAGAGCTACAGATCTGGACTACAGAGTGACTTCCAGGATAGCCTGGGCTGTTACACAAAGAAAGCCTATCTTGAAGGAAATGAAAGAAAGAAAAGGAAACAAAAGATAATATCAAAAATATCTGCCTATCCTTCTATGTTTTTAGATAAAAATTAATCATTTAAAATAGTTGTCTGCTTTGTTTTATCTACCAGAGTTTTTATAAAGGTCAGCATTCTCTGTAAGTTCACATTTATTAGATTGAGCAGTCAGAAGTTACACTATGAAGCCGTGTGGAGTGTGTAAGCACACAGGTATGTACTGTGAAGCCGCCGTGGAGTGTGTAAGCACACAGTGTGTGCACTGTGAAGCCGCCATAGAGTGTGTAAGCACACAGTGTGTGCACTGTGAAGCCGCCATAGAGTGTGTAAGCACACAGGTGTGCACTGTGAAGCCGCTGCCGTGGAGTGTGTAAGCACACAGGTGTGCACGGTGAAGCCGCCGTGGAGTGTGTAAGCACACAGGTGTGCACGGTGAAGCCGCCGTGGAGTGTGTAAGCACACAGTGTCGTGCGTCTCATCTCGCCGCAGGCTGGAAATAGCTCACAGACAACACCGAATACTGCTTCAGCACCATTTTGTTTTCCTTGATCATTACAATTTTTACTTTTATTTTCTTTCTACAATAACTCTGTTGGTATTAGTCACTTGCTGAGTAAACCAAAGTTCCCTTTGACCAAACCCCAGAAATCAATCATGGCCTCAGGCGTAACTTACCAGGTGGCTTTATCCTTTGCCAATCTTTTCTATCTGTGTGTAAATCAAGAAATATTTTTGAATATCAAGAAATATCAAAAATCCCTATATGTTCTCTAGTATTAGAAGGTCAGAATTTTAAAAAATACAGTTTTTTGGGTTTTAGAATTTCGAATCATCTAGGAACTGTTTCCTTATGTGATGTATTATTGAAGTGTTTGCATAGCTATGACCTTCCCTTGCATGTTGTGTTGTTGAAGCATTTGCATAGCTATAACCTTCTCTTACATATTATATTATTGAAGTGTTTGAATAACTATGACCTTCCCCTACATGTTGTATTATTGAAGCGTTCGCATAGCTATGACTTCCCTTTTGTGTTATATTTGTGTTGCATTACTGAAGTCTTTGTGTAGTTCTGACCAAGTCCTCAAAAGCAACTTAAAGGAGGAAAGATTCACTTTGAGTCTGTAGCAGAGGGTTCAGTCCATTGTGAACTAGAAGGCGTGGTGAAGCAAGACAGTCACATCACAGCAATGAGGACGCTTCATAAAGAATCCCAAGGGGCTAGGAAAAAGGGACCCCCAAGGGCCCACCCCCAACATGAATTCCTCAACCTAGACCTCCTAATGATCTCAGAACCTCTGGAAATAGCACCATTCACTGAATACCAATCCCCTAATACACAGATGTTTTGGAGAAGCACATTCTAGCCAAAGCGTTAGCAGCAATCATTGTACAAAGCTCTGTCTACCCTTTTAGTAGTAAAACACTAGTGTAAAGTAGCAAGCCACGTCTCTCCCAACATTTAAGAGGACAAAAGCTTGCCTAACTTTGTTGAGCATAAACAATGTAAATTCACTATAGAGAGTCTGGAAAATCTAATAGGTTCAGAACATGTTCAGACATTCAACTTTTTAGCATGCTCCTCTGGTCCTTTCTGTATGTCATCTGTGGACACACATAAAATGTTTTAGAACATACAGTCTTTACATGGCTCTTCCTATTCCTTCATTCCTGTCCCTCTCCTTTTCTCTCCTGTCAGTCTCTCTCCCTCTGTGTGCATTCTAGATTCCCTCTGCACAATCTATGCATAAGTCTGTCTGTTTAGGCTTCATACAGAGAGGCAAGAAGCATTCAAACCTTGCTCCCTGGGAAGAAAATAGACATATGATGAATTCATGATGCTAAACAGGTAGATGATAAAAGATAGGCAGATACATACATACATAGAAAGATACATAGAGAAAAGAAAGGGATGTATGTTGTCTAATTATATAGAGTTACTAGAAGATGCTAAGTGGGTTTGTGACCTTTTGTTAAAAATAAACCTCTTGCTCCTACTTTAGATTCCAAAGGAATCTGTCAGTCCTTCCATCGTACCTGTTATTTCTGCAACATCTTGTCTCATTTCTGCAGAAATGCTTTGTCAGCTGCAGGGTTAGGCCTAGAGATCTACTCTCACCATGGTTTCCAAGGCCTTCTACACAGCCTCTAGGGAAGTACCTCCCAGTTCCTAATCACCAGCTGCATAGCATATCCTACACCAAACAACTCTGAAGTTCATTTTAATCAGCCTGCGATCTTCTCTTCCCCTTTCTCTGTGCTTTACTCTGAATTCCTTCTAAGCACTCTTCCTAAATGGTCTTCTGGCCAAGACTGCCCATCTTCAGTAACAGGCTGCTTGTTACCTCTGGATGCGACCTGGAACATTTCCGTCGCGCTCCAATAACCCAGATACCCTTTCCTGTCACTCATTCACTGTTACTTCTCACTGCTTAGGAGGCACACAACAATTTCATTGTAGAAATGTTTGCATAAAAGCCCTTTGAAACCAATGCTGTTCACAATGGTAACAAAAGAATAAAGTACTTAGGGGCAAACTTAACCTAAAACGCAATGTGCATACCCCAAACCACAATGAGTTACTGAAGTAAATTAAAGAAGTTGCCAATAAATGAAAAGACATTGTGCTTCCTGAGTTAGAAAATCGTATTAAGATGTCACTGCTCCCCAAAGAAGTTTGTGGATTCTGCATGATCTCTGTTGAAACTCAACATTTTTACAGAAATGGGAAAGTTCATTCTAAAAATTTATGTGGAATCTCAATGGACTCCCAGACATTTCAGACAGTTTTACAGAAGAAAAACAGAATTAGAGGGAGGCCTCACCTTTCCTGATTTTAGAAGTTATTATAAAGCTGCAATAATCAAAAACTCTGGTACTGGCATGAAGGTTGTAGTCATGTAGATCAATGGAATCGAACCGAGAGTTCAGAAATGATCCCATACATCTACAGTTAGCTAATTTTTAAGAAAGGTGCTAAGATCACTCATTAATGGTCTTCAAAATATAGTGCTTGAGAAACTAGATAGCACAGGAAGGAAAGATCTTAGATTCTTACCTTACAGCATATCAAAGACCCAATCATAGTACCTAGAATCATAAAACTCTTAGAAAAAGGCCTAAAGAAAGAACATCGAGCAATGGATTTGGCGTTGCTTTTTGGGACATTATGTCAAATGTACAAGCAACAAAAAATGAAACAGACACATTGGATTGCAAGATACTATTAACAGTGCAAACAGGAAACCCACAGAATACAAGGTGTTTGTGCATCAAGCATCTCATACGGAAGTTAATATCAATAATAGGGTTCTTCATATAGCTCCACAAAAACACCCAGCTCCACAAAACACCAGTGCTCTTCCAAAGTGAGTAAAGGATATTAATAATTATTCCTCCAAAATTCCTTCAAAAACAGAGGGACAGCCAATGACGCCTGTAAAAGATGTTCAACATTACATTAGGGAAATGTAATTCAAAACCACAGCTAAATACCACTTCGTACTCCAAAGGATGACTGTTATAAAAATAATGCACTTCACACACAATACATAAGAGCAATGAGCTGTGGGGAATGAGAAGCTGTGGGCAGATATGGAGATATAAAATGATAAGGGCTGCCTTGAGAAACAGTGTCTTAGGAGGGGGCTTCTATTGCTGTGATAAAATACCATGGCCAAAGGCAACTTGAGGAAAGTGTTTATTCCATCCTGCAGCTCTCAGGCCACAGCCCAACAGCCCGTCACTGAGGGAAATCAGGGCAGGAACTGGAAGACAAGAGCTGAAAAGGAGACCATCGAGGAACACGGCTTCCTGCTCGGTCCCCAAGGCTTCCTCAGCCTGCTTTCTTATACAATGCAGGGCCACCTGCACAGGGATGACAGGCATTTTCTCAACTGAGAGTCCCACTTCCCAAATGACTCTAGCTTGGGTCAAGTTGACACAAAACTAAGCAACACACACAGCATGGTGGATTGTTAAAAACTGAACAGGAGAAAATGTATAAGCACATGATCCAGCAGCTCTGCTTTGGAGCTGAAAGGAGAATGTCAAAGCAGTTTGTGCTCACCGTTCACTGCTGTGTTACTCATGGGAGCCAAGAGAAAGACAAAGGAAAACCAAGTGTCCATCAAGAGATCAGTAGAGAAATACAGTATGTTCGTTCATGTATAGGAAAAAATTCAAAAGGAAGGAAAATGCTCCTCCGTGAATGGGTCTCTCAGACATTCTGCTCAGTGAAATGATACAATCACAAAGAGGCAAATACTGTTGATTCCACACCTATAAAAAAAAAAGCCGTAGAGTCACATTCACGGACACAGAAAGTGGATTAGTGCTTTCTGGGGGCTGGGCAGGAGACATGGGGGTTACTCTTTAATGGGTACAGAGTTTTGGAAAATGAAAAGAGCTTGGAGAGGTTGGTCGTATCGATTGCGCAATACTTCGAATACCTCAAGGCCACAGAACTGTACAGTTAGAAGTGGTTCAAATGGTGAATGGTATATTGTATAAGCAAACTATCTAGACCACAGTCTTGACCTCATGGGATTGTCTGCAGAGCAAACCCGCCTATTTTCTTGAGCCATTCACGAGACACAAATGAAATCTACTCTCTCTCACTATTCCCAGCCTCCTCTCGTCACTTTAACCCACAGGCTAGAGATCTCAGTATGGCATTGATCTGTCATGTCCTTCAGTATGGTTATACTCAATGATCAGCTAGAGTTCCTTCTAGTGCACTCAACATGAATTCCTGCGGAGCTAATATTGATCTGATTCCTTTGCTAGTGTACTCTGCTAAGACTGTCCTTGCTTGGAACTCTCTCACAGTCGGAAAAGAAAACTAAAGCTTGCCCACAAGATGGTACAAAATAAGCCAAAATAACAAACAAATAGAAAGAAGGTATTGGCAGACGTACGTGTTCTGGTGACTGTACTGTGGGCTTAAGGGGTGGGGATGCAGGTGTTTAGGTGATCTCAACAGGTCTCCACTCGTTCCTTCACTCGTTCGTTCTTGGCCCTGTTCCATCTTCAGTCTGCTTAGACAGGCTTGCCACCCAGAAGCTCACTGCAAGCTTCCCGATTCGTGGGTGGAGAAACAGAGTGAGCAGCGTGCTCAACCATCCAGGCTAGAGTCTGTTTGCTTTTCACAAACTCTAACCGGATCACAGCTCTGAATACGTCACCTTGGCCACGATGATGCAAATTCTTAATAGCTTCGTTCCAGGTCACGAGTTCTGCCCCCAGATCACTGAAACAGCTATTTGGCTGAAAGCAGAGCCCTGGTGATCACCCAAGAGTACTCAAGTTAAAACTAGTATCAGGATCAGGGGGCATTGAACAACAAAAAGGACAGAGTCAGTCAGTCACCTTGCCGTGAGTCCCTAGTAGGTATTTTACAGAAGCAGATATGTTGTACATTAAATGTGATACCCAAGTCCTTCTGATGAGATATTTTGAGGATCCTAATTCTAGGAAGCAGTGTAGTTCCACGTTGTGATCCAGGCCCTCTCTCTGCACCTTGTCCACTCAGTCATGAACGATACGTGAACATGTTATTATATAACATACAGTCTCTAAAAGCCCACAGGTGGGTCTGGTGCGAGAGCTTTCACCTGTGATCTCAGCACAGGGGAGACAGAGGGAGAAGGATCACCCATAAATTTGAGACCAGTCTGATCTACAGAGTGAGTCCCAGGCCAATAAGGGCTACAGAGCAATACCCTATCCAAAACCAAAAGGAAACAAACGGCTCAACAGTTTCATTGTCACCTTCAGCAGCTCCCTGTGCCAACCAGGCTCCCCCTTCCAGGTACCACTATCAGCATCTTTGAATGTATAGCCGAAAGTAGGTTCATCTTTTAAGTTGGGGCCCTAGATCTTATGCCCAGAGGCACTGGGGGGGTCATCAGAACAAAATTCCAGACTTATATGAAGATTTGTAATGAATTGCAAGTGATACACTGCTTCCTTGATAGCCATTATCAACAAGCGCTCATTTTAAATATATGTCTCAGACATCTAACGCTGTCTAAATAAGCCAAAATGTTTATATGGAGCAGAAATTAGAAAATGTCAGGATGTTCCTAGGCACACGGAATTTATGGGAACACAGTGCCACCCTGTGTTCCTTTCTAAAGGAGGGGTTGTCAATGTCACCAAGATTACTTCCACTTTATAGATAGGAAACTAAGCTGGTTGAGGGTGACTAGCCCGCACGGCCACACAGCTGGCTAGCACAAGTGTGGCTCAAAGTCATCAAACTGACCACACTTGAGTAGTATTTGTCCCAGACAGCCATCACCTGGCATGCAAATGAACACAGGCACCTTCTTCAAAATCGAAAACACAAAACCAAACATGGACGAGCTAGGAAGCTGGCACTCACTTTACAAAACACTGTTGTCAGAAGCAAGCCGTTCTCAGCAACAAGCTTGCCCTGGAACTGGCTAACTGGTTAAAAAATCATTAATGGTTTCTCAGAAATACTGGGACAGAGGAACGACACCAAAACTTTAGTACTTGTGCCAGCTGAAGTTCAAAAAACTGAAAAGCCAACTTGAGCCCAGTAGAAGAAAACACTACTTTAAGACTCTTGAGATATTCTTTCTCTGAACATCAGTTACACTTGGAGAAAATACCCCTGAGAACAAATGAGGGCTTGGTACAGCCTCCCTCCAGGGGTCTCCACATGTGAACTTGCTTCTCTGTGCACCCCAGGGTCACCTGACTCCCAGTCTCTTGTTGCCCTTAGCAATAAAATTTGCTGGCCCCACTCCTCACCAAGTTTCAGAGCTGCACAGGTGCCTACCTCTTTCAAAGCAGTTTCCTACAACCTTAGTTCTTCCAGAAATAGCATCTATGCACTCAGGTGGTTGCAAATCAACAGACTTAACCGGAGGGTGGTAGCACATGCCTTTAATCCCAGCACTTGAAGGGCAGAGATGGGTGGATCTTTGAGTTTGAGGCCAGCCTGACTCTACAGAGTGATTTCCAAGAGAGCCAGGGTTGTTACACAGAGAAACTCTGTGGTGATATTTTGTTTGTTATCTAACAAATAATGCTTGCCTGGAGATCAGAGTTCAGAGCTAAGTCACCAGTTAGCCATAGAGGTCAGGCAGTGGTGACACACACCTTTAATCCCAGCATTAGGGAGGCAAAGACAGGTGGATCTCTGTGAGTTCAAGGCCACCCTGGGTTAAGTGAGATTGGTCCATTCTAAAAGAGAAACACAGCCAGGTGGTGATGGCTCACACCTTTAATTCCAGTACTTGGGTGTCACATGCCTTTAATCCAAACACTAAGGAGGTAGAGACAGGAAGGGATTTGGCTAGGCAGAGAGAGGAATATAAGGCAGGAGGAGATAGGCGCTCAGAACATTTAGTCAGAGGATTCCTCGAGACAGGATCGCCCATTCAGTCTGAGGATTCGGCAGATGTGAGAAGTAGTGACTGGCTGCTCTGCCTCTCTGATCTTTCAGCATTTATCTCTATATCTGTCTCGGGGTTTTTATTGTAAAGACCAAATTAGAATTTGCACTACAAAATTCTGTTTTGAAAATGGAAGGAAGGAAGGAAGGAAGGAAGGAAGGAAGGAAGGAAGGAAGGAAGGAAGGAAGGAGGGAAGGAAGGAGGGAAGGAAGGAAGGAATTAGGAAGGAGAAGGGAAGGGGAGGGGAGAGCAGAGGAGAGGAGAGCAGAGGAGAGGAAAGGAGAGGGGGGGAGGGGAGAGAAGGGGAGGGGAGGGGAGGAATAGGCTTTAATGAAAGGACAAAACACAAGATGAGGCAAAAGGTCCAAATCTAAATGCCATAGTTGGACACCAGTGGAGAGCAGTTACTCAGCTTACAGCTGAAGGACAATGGTGGTGGATAGGTTATGGGGGCAGGGGTTAAGTAAGAACCAGTTCCACATAAGAAAAGCTCCTGGTTGAGAGGAGCAGCTAGAGGCTAATTGAGAAGCTGTTAGTCCTATCCTCCCCTTTCCCAGGCTGCCAGTGCCTCCCATGAGCAGCAAGAGCATTGGGGCATCTGTAGATACAGTTAGCAAAGATCAGGACCAGAAAAGGTGCAGAGCATCTCCAGAAGAAAGAAGGAGGAGCATAAAGCTTCTCCCAAAGGCGGGTGAGCCGAGGTTCTAGGACGTAGCCCAGTTCACAGACCGCTCAGCTAGCGAGCACATGTTTTCAGTCCCCAACAGCTGCATGAAACCAGGTGTGACAGCCCAAGTCTGCACTGCCAAGAGGTGGGTGTAAGAGGGTCAGAAATCCAAGGTCAACCTCAGCTACACAGAAAATCCAAGGCCAGCCTGGGCTACACGAGACCCTGCCTCTAAACAAGAAGCAACTGAGAAGACCACGTAGCTTGTTTCAGCTCTTGAAGAGTAGATTGAAAGCCAGAGGAGGCCCTTCTTCCTGCTCTCCTTTCTCTAATTTTGGGAAACCCGATTGCCTAAAGAGTCGTAACAGGTCAAAGGGCATCTTAATCCCAAGGCTCCTTCCCAACCCACGGTGTTGTCACCAATGGCCCACGGCGGCCTGCTTTTCCTCAGAAGTGCCCAGGGAGTATGTGAGCAGGCTGACTCAGCCTCTGCCTGGATTCGCTGGGGTGGGAGGCTTAGTGAATCACTTGTGTGGGTGACGATTTAGGCTGTGTTATTCTTTGAGCGGATCCACTCCGTACACTAACAGAGCGTCCGTTTGATTCATGGAGGTGACTCAGCCGAGGAAGTCGACCTGACCATGGTGTATCAGGCAGCGTCTAATGGAGATGTCAGTGCTCTGACTGCCGTGATTCGAGAGGACCCTTCCATCCTGGAATGCTGTGACAGCGAAGGTGAGCTGTTTGTGCATTTTTTTTAATCCACGCTGCAATGCTTTATCTTCTCAGAGGTGGTCTTTTGAGGTGAGCAACATCTCAAACATTCTTGACTGGCCCTGTGGAGGTGTCTTGCCTGTGGTTCTTTGTGCACCCCTTGGCATTTCTCTGCATGAAGGTGTTGGACACAAACCTTCAGCATCATACTTCATTTCTTATTATGAGTTGTTTGTTGCCAGTATTTTTGCAGGAATGGGCAATAAGTTGTCTGTGTGCATATGTGCTTATGGAAACCAAAAGTATCTTTCAGAAGGTACCATACATTTCATTTTTGAGACAGGGTTTCTCATTGGAATTTGGAACTTATCCAATAGGCTAACTAAACTGACTGGCCAGTGAGCCCAAGTATCTGCCTGCCTCCGTCTTCTCAGGGCCAAGATTACAAGCACAAAACATTATGCCTGGCTTTCTTAAGTGTGTTCTGGGTACCCTACTCAGATCCTCATGACTGCCCAGCAAACACTTTGGGGACTGAGTGTTCTGGCCACCAGTAGTTACAAGTGATAGGACGAAATGGTTACATCAGCAGGAGTGGATGTCGGGGGAAATATAAATGTCATGGTCCTTCAGAGAGCAGAGAATTTGGCTCTTGGTTGACAGAATGGTTGTATTCCCACCCCCCATTCTTTCTAAATACAATGGAGAACATTGGATATGATAAAAAAAAATAATAACTCTGGAACACAAAGAGAAAACGACAGATTGGTTAAGTCCTGGGATCTGAGAACCAGAGTGTTGGTGAGTTGTCTGGATCTTCGTCTTGCCTTGTGGATCCCAGGGTTGGGACTGAAGGAGTTGGTAACACTGGATGCCAACAGACTTGAACAAAAGAAAAGCTCCTGAAAACCTGTGTTCGCTAGACAAAACACCAGGATTGGCAATATGGAAGCAGTGCTAAGAAGAAACTCGATATACTAACACATGGGTCCACAGAGAGGGAATGCTTCCATCATTGGTCCTTTCGGGAATAAACCAAGGACATGAAAATACCACCGTGAGCACCAGAAATATGCACAATTAATAGCTGTTAATAAACAATTTTAATGTAAACAACCATAAATCCCTCTAGTAGGAGAGAGGCAATTTGAATATTCCTATAGTTATTTAGGAAATTAGATTCATAATTTAAAAATTCCTAAAGAGGAGTATGTTCAGCCCTAGATGGGCTTACTGATTTCTAGAATTCATTTATTTATATGTTATTTAGATTTACTTTCAGTGTAGGAGTATTTTTTCCTGAATGTGCCCCAGGTTTAGAAGAGGGTATCAGATCTTCTGGAACTGTAGTTACAGATGGTTGTGAGCCACCATGTGAGTCCTGGGAGGGAAACCCAGGTCCTCTGGAAGATCAACAAGTGTTCTTAATCACTGAACTATGAGCTATCTCTCCAGCCCCTCTATAAATGTCTAAAGAATAATCAGCACCATTTTTATATGATTTCTTTCAAAAAGAGAAAAGAAGGAAATAATGTAATTCTAGTTCATAAGTACAGATAAGTAATACTAATATTAGTATTTCCTTATCAATACCAGATAAATAAAATATTTTAAATCCCCATATTTATCAATTATCCTCATAAATATAGATGCAAAAGTGATTATATGAATTCACATATATGAATTATATATCATAATCAAGTTGGGTTTCTTCTAGAAATGTAAGTCTAGGTCAATACTTGCAAGCCAATAAAATCTCCCAAACTAGCTGGTTAAAGAAGAAAAATAAATCATATTACTTGGCAAAGAAGCACTTGATGGAATTTAAATTCAATATACTTCCATAATTTTGAATATCAGAAAATAGAAGTGGAAAGGAACTTGCTCTAGGTGACAGAGAACAAAACTAGACATGGTGTGAGCCTGCAATTCTAATGTCTTGGGAAGCTAAATCACGAGAGTACAAGACTATGCCAGGCAATTTAGGAAAATCTCCTCTCTGATTTTCTGTCCTGAGATTATCTTCAAACAGTCTAGAACAGTGGCTCTCAGCCTTCATAATTCTGCGACCCTTTAACACTCAGGTTGTGGTGACCCCAAACCATGAAATTACTTTCATTGCTACTTCATAACTGATTTTGCTACTATTACGAATCATAATGTAAATATCTGTGTTTTCTTATGGTCATAGGCAACCTCTGTGAAAGGGTCATCCAACCCCCAAAGACGTCACAACCCACAGGCTGAGAACCACTGCTCTAGAGGGACAGTATTACTTGTTAATGACTGAATGTTTGACTCTGAGGTCAGGAACACAGGAGGAAATGTCTACTCTCAGCATGCGTATTCAGCGCAATATAAATTCAAAAGGTCAGGGGAAGAAGGCAAGGGAAGAAAATACAAAATTCACAAATCACCATAGACAATCCTAAAGTGTGAGTTCAGAGGTCACAGGCCTAAGATGAGTACATCAATCTATGAACTAGAAACTAATATGTAGAAAACAAAACTTAAAATATGATACCATTGAAAGGAATCCATAAGTGCATACATATATGTATATATATATATACATATATATCGTGTATGCAGAACACTTAAAATACCTATGAGATAAACATAAGAAAATCTGAATAAAGGGATGCATGTGTCACACTCATGGGAAACAGTGTAATAAACACAGAGATGCATTTGCAGGATATTCAGGATTAATTTGGTTTCTAAAAGTAGGCAGATCACAAGTTTATCAAAACCTGATGTGTGTGTATTGTCACACAGGCATACTCACAAGTAAATACACAGAGGCAAATTTATCTGGAATGCATTTTCAAATAGGAAAAAAAAACTAGAGTTTATAGAAATTTCCTCTCTGGTAAAGCTTTCCATCTTTGAGGGAAGTTCCTTAAGGTTCAAGATGTCTAAGAGGAGTTGAAACACTCTAGACTGGAGAGGCTCCGCTTAAAGTAAGGAAATAAACATCTCAAAAGCTCCAGGAAGTCCTTGAAACTGATCAGATGCACTAGGCCCCTCTCTCATCAAAGGGCTCAGTCCAGCTGAGCTGCCTGATAAAACTGACAATATTTAACAAAAGACAAAATGTTTGTACCTGTGACCAACTAATTCTACTTCTGGGTATATTTCATAAAGAAACATTCATACCGAAGAACAAAGATGAGTAATGAAAACTGACCCACTTGGGAATGGCATAAGTGAACAGCAAGACAGAAAGCTAGCCTGGGCTTCCTGAGCTGTGCAGTGAGACCCTGTACCAATGATGATGAGGACAAGGATGAAGACAAAGATGACAAAGGGGACAAAAATGGTGATGCTGTCATTGGTTCTCAAATCCTTGGCAACATAGGACATTTCTTCTTATATGCATATATCTCCTTTCCCTCTTAGATCATTATGTCTCTCTGATTGAATTGCTCTTTATTTAGTTTACCTAATAATTAAATTTTACAAATTAGAGTAATTTTTCTTACTAGGTATGGCAGAACAGATGTGTGATCCCCACACTCAGGAAGTTGAGGCAGGCAGATCACTAGTTCAAGGCCAACCTAGGTTATGTGTTTAAAACCAAGTCTAAAAAAAGATAGCCGGGCAGTGGTGGTGGCACACGCCTTTAACCCCAGCACTCTGGAGGCAGAGGCAGGTGGATCTCTGCGAGTTCGAGGCTAGCCTGGTCTACAAGAGTTACTTCCAGGACAGGCTCCAAAGCCACAGAGAAACCCTGTCTTGAAAAACAAAAACAAAAGATAGTAAATTAGCTAAAAATTAAAAACAAAAATATTCTGCCAGTGTGTAGCTAGTCTTTGAATTTTGACTGATAATATACTATGGAAAATTAAATTCATATGTAGTTGAATTTAACAAGGTATTTTTTTTCACAGTTTTTGGTTTTTCCTTCTTCCACAAGTCCCTAAGATTATAAGACCAAGAGTGTGTATTTTCTTTCTGGAGTGTTAGATTTTGCTTCTTACATTTCATCTCTAATCCATCTGGTTTGTATTTATGAGTGGTGGGGAGTCTGGTTGCATTTGAATTTGGCATCTGTATGCAGCCAATTTGTCAGTACATATTTATTAAGTACCTTTGCCCTCTCCACCAGTGTACACTACCACTTCAATTACACAGTGAGCCTCGTGCAAGTCTGAGTGTTTCCTGGACTCTCCTTTCTACACTGTTGAGCTATTTCTTATTTTAGTTATCAAAACTTTATAATAAATCATGCCTATTAATAATACAATTTTCTGTTCTTTGTTCTCTGAAGAAATTTATGTAAAAAGTACAACCTCAAGATGAATATAAACTAGTCAGGCAGATCATGTAATTTTATGAAAATAATATGAAAAAATTAATTTGTTTTATTTACTGAATATCTCAGATTCACAAATTGTTTTATTTTCTTATTCATTGTGTCTTTTCTTTCCCCTCTAATGGTCATAACTACCACTTTCATTTTTAATAATTTTTATTTGTTTCTGTTTTTTCCACGCAAAATTTCTCTGTGTAGTCCTGGCTGTCCTGGAACTTGATCTATAGGCCAGGCTGGCCTTGAACTCAGAGATCTGCCTGCCTCTGCCTCCCGAGTGTGTGTGTGTGTGTGTGTGTGTGTGCCACCACAGCAGCTTGCGACTGCTTGATAGGAAAGGGAAGTAGGGAAGAAGGAAGGGAAGGAAGGAGGGAGAAAGGAAGTAGGAAGGGAGGAAGGAAGAGATGGGGAAAGAAAGAAATGAGGGATAAGGAGGAAAGCAGAAAGAAGAGAGGGGAAAAGGAAGAAGAGAGAAAAATCTCATCCCTCACTTTTCTAAGAATCACTTTATTGCTGCTTTACCCAGAATGAGTGTCTGAAAAGGATCCCAGAAAAGAGGGCTGCTGGACCACTGAACAGCAGCCCTCTCTGGGGACCACGGCTGCTGGGTGTATCCAGAAGAGAACCATCATCTCCATAGAGTCTAAGCACATGTCAGTTCGCCAGTGGATTGGCTCTAAGCTTGGTCCCTTGGACTGAAGGAATGTGACATTCCTTGTTTGTTCCAGCCCCACAAAGTTAAATAAAATGGGTTCATTCATCTCTATTTTTATTCAGAAAGAAAACACACTAAAAAACAAAATGCCTTTGGCTGTATTGATTCAGAAAGAGAAGATTTCAGTGAGGTGGATCCTACTGAGAATTTGTGAAGCCCAAGGCTACCACCCAGCTTTGCCACCCCCTGCCTGTCAATGTGTGCTGAACCTGTTTGCCTAGGTGGACCAAAAGCTGCTCTTCCAGATTCTGCACTACCTCGGCTTAGTGTGGATAAACTTACCCGGTATATCTGGAGTTATTCACATCCCTGAGGCCACAATGGCCAGTTCTGGTCATCTGCCCAAACTGTTTTAATCCACCAACTATTCCAGACAAGTGAGAAAGAGGAGAGGGAGAATTATAGACAACTAAGGAGAGGGAGGTTAGAAAGAAACCCAACACTTATGCAAGCAGATGCTATCATCATCTTGGTCTCAGACCCACAACATCCAGCAGCTGGATTCGTGCTGCAGGAAAGCAAAGCAGATGGATAGGCAAATGGTCTGCTCTAAATCTCAAAAGTTAAACGTTTGTAAAGGCTGCTGAAATGCCACTCATTCCAGGATGCACGCCCTTGATGCATGCGGTTTCTGGGCGTCAAGTAGACACGGTGAAACTGCTGTTGAAGATGGGCGCCAACATTAATACCCAGGACGCGCATGGCCGCACCAGTTTGTGCCTGGCAACCTACCTGGTAAGAATTTATGCTTGTTAATGGGGCTACAGAGCAAGGGACCCTACAGATGTCGTGTGGATTCGACTCAAAGAAAGGTGCCCATGAGCTGATGCAGTGGGAGAGTAGAACTTTCGGCTCCACTCGCTATCCCTAAGGCTCGCACGGATTCTTCACAAGCTAAGGGGGAGCTGGTGTGACCACCAGCGAAGTGTTCTTTTCTATCTTAGCATCAGAATTTCACTCGGGGCATTTCCGGCCCCTTCTGAGTATTTTTAAGAATACCAGACGGTGGTAGCGATTTAAAGATCCAGCTCACATCTGTGGGGTGAGATTAGATGGAGGGGGGCCGAGTGGATGTTCCAGACTGAAGAACGTGAGAAATGAGGGGAGCTGGGAAGAGTGAGGGGACTGGGATGTAGGGAACAAGCCAGGATCACGGGGCCACACCAAGGGAAGGACTCGGTTCCTAGCTAGTGCTCACAGTAGAAACTGTAATGTCATTCCTCACACTCGGGATTTTGGTTCAGCATTGCCCAACATTGAAGCCAGACATGGTTAAGAATCATGGAAGCTTCTCTAGCCCCCTCCTCTCAGTTGCTCTTTCTGATTCTTCGGGGGTCCCATGGCTTAAACCCATGTGAAACAAGCCCTACCCACCACATGAGGGACACTCGATTGCTTTTCTTCTTTTCCAGCAATGTGGCCACCATTCTCTCACATCTTGCCTCTGGCATTCACTACTGCTGCCAGTTGGTAGTGGTGGGTTCACCCCCAACCAGGCCTCCTAGGGTGCCCCACTGAAATAAAGCACTTCCCTTCCCCAAACACACCACCCCTTCCTGTCACAATTCACACAGAGTTTACAATGATGTATTACTCAATTTCCACAGAGATTTTCTCCAGAAGCCGCTTTTTAATTTTTTTTTTCCTTTCCCTGGGACCCACAGACAAATTGAGGCATGATATTTTGAAGTGTGGTCCACAGGCTTCTTGTATCAATACCCCATAGAGGTCTTGTTTGGAAGGCGGGTTCTGAGGTATACTAAGGTTTCCTCTGCTAGATATTCCTTGGATAGCCTAGGGGCAGGAAGGAAGGGAGCCTGCAGGTTAGACCAACCTCCCTGGAAACATCTGTGTCTACCTGAGTTTGAAGACCCCTGTTCTGCGTGTCATAGCTGAGTGAGTCTGCATATCTCAGACAGGTGTATGGCCACGCTCTTAGTCCCCTCCCTTTGTAGCACATGCCATCGTTCACTGCTCTCGTTACACACTTTTTTGTGTCCGAGATAAAGAAAAGAAAACATCCGGATTAAGGAGCAAAGGAAAGGGGCGGAAGTGCTGTGTAAAGTTGACCGCCTTTAGACTCAATGAAGACAGCAGAAACAAATTGTATGTCTTTTAGAACTCTAAACTTCCAAACTTGAAAGGACTGGAAGGACGTTCTCCCCAAACATCAATTATGAGGGGCAAGGTGGATTGTTTCCAGGTGACCCCTTTGCAGGCAACTCTTCCCATCCCAAAGGGCTGTGTGAGAGAAGTGACCCAATATAGGATGACCTTCTTAACTGTGCTGGCTTCTGGGTGAGGTCTAGTCTGGACCCATCCCTGGATGCTGAGGCTCTGGGAAGAGGAGGGTGGCTGTGAAATCCGGTGATGTCTAGATTTGATCATTAGGAGAACCTTGGCAAAAGAGGTACTTAGAAACTGATTCTTAAGTCAGGGTACACAGACATTTGTAGACATGTGACCTTGGGCAAATCTCTTCACCTTTTTGTTCCTCTGTCTTTATTTTTGAGGTATAGTAAAAACAATAACCCCAGCTTCTCACAGCTGAAGGCAATGGTGAGGTCGGCTGACATAGGAGGTATGGTGTTCATCTGTTGCCTCCAAATGGTATCAAGGCTTTCAAATGTCTTCACTGATTTCTAAATTTCTTTTCTGAAGAAGAAGGAAAAGAAAAAAAGAATGAAGAAAACCACATACACACATTGAGTTCCAGGAAGAATTGCAAAATATTTTAGATGTTTCAAAGCTTACTCCACCAAAAGATCTGCTTTTTCAAAAACCATATGTAAAATCTTGGGCAATTCTGAAGTTTACAAAGCATGCCTAGCTTTTGGGTCCTCTGGTCCATTTTTTTTTCTTTTAAGCAGAGAGCTTGATGACTTGGACATTAGCAATTAGAAGCAAATTTAATATATTAGTAAACTATGAGTCAATACTAACAATGCCCCCCAAATATTTGTTTCTACTTAAGACAGATATTGCTGGCCAGTTCTACAGAACCTTATTTGGTATTACAGCCCATGGAGGTTTTTTAGTTTTGATTTTTGTGGCCAGGATGTAATCTAGGATGTCTTCAAAGTCACTATGTAGCAGAGGATGACCCTTAACTCCTAATCCTCTTGCTGGTAACCTCTGGGATTCTAGGTCTGCGTCTCCATGCCTGGCTCAGCCGGGAGTTTGGATGTGCTCCTTGTTGGCAGATATTGTCTAGCGGCTTCAAAACCACAAGGTTCTGTCCATATGATTCTTTCTTCAGGAAGGTTATTAACTCTTTAGGTTTTGGTGCTTCCAATATTGTCATCCTAAGGGAGAGAATCTTCAGCTGTCTCAGCTCTCTGGGACATCTCGAGGCTTGACAATATACACGTGGAGGAAGGCCAGAAACTGCTTTTGAATAAAAGGTTATCACATTATTTTTCTCAATAAGAGTTTCATCTACTTATTTGTCTGTTTATAAGTAGTTGTGTAGCCCAAGGGTTGAAGATAAATGTAGGAGACTTTCTGCTTAGCAAAGAGAAGCAAGCTTGGTTATCAGCTAAGCTGGGTTAGCTAAAGAAGTATAATTTAAGAAAGCAGTGTAAATCTGGGCAGGGAGAGTCTCCGGTTACTAATGTTCTTTAATATAAGATAGTAAAAAAAAAAAAAGGATGGAGAGATGTCTCAGAGATAAAGAGCATTGACTTCCACAGGTCTAGGGTTCAATTCCCAGCAACCACATGGTGGTTCACAACCATCTATAATCAGATCTGACGTCCTCTATTGGCATGTGGGCAAACCTGCAGACAGAATACTGTATACCTATTTATAATACTACAAAAAAAAAAAAAAAAAGATCCAGCTGGATGTACTGACCAGCAAGGTGATAATATCAAGTTTCAGCTGGTACAAATAGGGTGCAGGGAATTCACACAGCCTCCTAAGAAACATGTAGGTGCATAAAACCTTGCGATGTGTATCCCTTGGAGAATGCCCGTGTGTCTTCACCTTAGAGAGTCAGGACGCCAGCATTAGAACTGCAGCTATTGGCAGGGTGTGTGAGTTGTGTGTCACTGGGATGAGAAGTGGTATAGGAATCCAGCTTTTAGACGTGGATGTTGTCATCCAAGTTAGACAGGTGATGCGTATCATGTAGAACTAAGCCACATGCCAGAGCAGCCAGAGCAGGTGACTACTCGCTGTCACATGCTATCTTTAGGGTAGCCTAAATGTTGCAGCTGAATCCCAGTGAGGGGTCCTGGAAATGGAAGGGAGAGGCAAGAGCATCTGCATCAACCTACATGTAAAAGGCAACAATCAGACAGAAAACCTGGGAACTTGAAGCTCAGACTTCAGCTCTCTGCTCTGGGGCCTGAGTTGGAACGGTGGTCTTTAATGGTTTCCACTTAAACAAGCTTTTAGCCAAACCAAATAAGTGGCCAAAACAACAACAACAACAACACACACACACAAACACACACCTACAGAAAGCTTGACCCGTGTTATATGAGGCTGTCTTATATAATAATGCTATCTTTGCTGCCTTTCAGGGCTGGCTTGAAGGCTGTGTGAGTCTGCTCAGAAACGGTGCCAAGCACAACATCCCAGATAAAAACGGCCGCCTGCCACTGCATGCTGCCACCGCAGAGCCCGATGTGAGGTAAGCAACACATACGCCAGAGGGTAAAGACCCAGCTTGCACAAGGAAGGCATGGAACCCACCCCTTTGTGGCTGATAAAAAGGAAACTTACCCATTTCGCAGAGAGGACCCCAACACAATGCTCTAGCGTAGTTTTAAACTCTGATCTTGCTTCCCTCTTACATCTGAAACGCTTCCCTCACTTTTATTTTGGGAGAAAGCCTATTTTTCATCATTAGAATCCATTAATAGCTATTACTGGAACTTCATTATGAAGCGGAGTTTTAGTCCCTAACAATGCCACAATAAATAAGACAATCTCTGATGTCCCTGAGTGGACGCTGTCGTGAAGGAATCTAGTAAACAAAGGAACAAGATAACGACGACAAGCGCTTTGCAGAAAATCACACAAGCTAAAACCACTGTGATGTGTCAGTCCGCTTAATGTCCAAATGGGCTGTACAGCCTGAGTCTGTACAGGAGGAGTTGAAGAGGCACAGGAGCCTGAGGCAGAAGTTCAGGGCACTAGAGAGAAAACCAGGACGGTATACACATGGAGTCCGTGTAAAGGGATTTACTCAAAGAAAGTCAGTGATTGAGGAGGTCACAATTTGGTAAGACAATTAAGAAACCAAGGGGAAGATGCCTGGTCCAGTGAGTTCCTCATTCCTCAGTGTCAAACTGGCCGCTGTCTCCATCATTTTGCAAGCCCCTACAGCAGAGCTGATGATAGCATTTCCTGCTACAAACAGCAATGATGCTGCTTGACTCTTCCTTCACCTCTGTGAGGGCAACATGACTTTAATAGTAATTGAGCATCTCCCATCGCAGGCCTGGCCAGCAACGCGAGTAGGGGTGGGATGGGGTGGGGAATATGCTGTGTGCCTCATCCTCAGCACCCAGGACCAGAATGAAGATCTGGATGAAGCTCTCTGAGTCTGAAAAGGTGAAAACTTCCTCCAGGCAGGGGGGGGATAACAGGATTTCTTCATTTCAGTCACTTTTATAGAAAGTAAAAGGCTTGGGAAATCCCGGGACTATTCCTGAGGCTTGCCGCTTGCTATCTTGGACTCTATCCAGACATAACAGAACTTACCCAAAGCCTGATGAATGAAGCAAGGAAGGTTAGGAATGAAAGAGCAAGCCCAGACCATTAACCATCAGTAGGCATCATAGGTAAAGGGATGGTTTGTTTTAAGAAAAGGAAGAGGGAAGGGAGGGAAGAAGGAGGGGAGGGAAGGAGAGAGAGAAGAGGGAGGGAAAGACTTTAAAGGCAGCTTGCATAAATATTTAGTTACAAAAGTAAACTGCTTCTGCAAGAGTGATCTTGAGAAAATAAGTTTGAAAACAACATACCTTCTAAGACTCATTCTGCCTTGATTACTGAACTTAACTGACTTTATCTACTTCTCTTGAGGATTTTAAAAGCTACTTATTCTGAAAGATAAATGCCTACTTAAGTTAGAGTAATTATAGTTATTACAGTAAACAAAACTCAAAGCTTGAGTGCTTCACCCTCAAGTTTTAGTTCTCAGACATATCACAGTCCCAATGTAGGTGTAGCTGGGGGAGGGCTGGCTCCCCTCCGCACGGTGATCCAGGGACCCGAGCATCTCCCGTCTTGTAACTAGCAGCCTGAATGGTAACAGATTGTCCTTCCCTTGGCCTGGTAATGGGCAAAGAGGAGCAAAGATAAGCAAAGAGATACCTTGTTCATTCTTACAAAACCTCAGGCAGACATCACCATTCACATCTGTTCTTTTTCCATTGACAAGAACTGGTCATTTATATACAGTCGTATAGAGTAAACATCATGAGATGCAGTCCTGGGCAGAGAAGTTATCTGCCTTTGGTGATGCCAGTTCATGAACTGGGAACTCAGATTTGGATGAAGAGCTCTCTCAGTCCTCACCCTCTGCACCTTTTCAATCAAAATTACATGGGTCAGCCAGGTTCAATCTCTGAAGTGATTAGCTGAAAACAGATCCAAGTGTATGTCCTCTTCTGCATGGACTTTTCTTTTCTTTTGTTTGTTTGTGTGGTTTTTGGATTTTGGTTATTTTTCACGTTGGGGTTTCTCTGTATAGCTCTGATTGTCCTGGAAGTCACTCTGCAGATCAGGCTGGCCTTGAACTCAGAGATTCTCCAGCTTCTACCTCATCCCCAGCCCCATGTGTCCCGACCAGCAGGATGCCAACAGAACTGATTTCGCCCTGGAGGGTAGGAATGAAGGGGCAAGAGACACGAGAAATGACAGCAAGTCGGGCTTTCTGATCAAGCTGCCCACTTTATTATTTCTCAGAAACTGTTATATAGCAAACAGGTGTGTGTGTGGGGGGGGGTAAGAGGTAAGAGTTGGAATTCAGGTCTGGAAATATCCCTAGCTGATAAGAAAGTACTGAGGTCTGTAACTGTTAACTAACAAAGTAAATGCTCATTGCTTCTAAAGCCTGGGGCCTGCAGGTCTCACTTGGTTAATTTCCTAGGCCCAGGAACTTGCCCTGCAAAGGTGAATATCTTACTTAACTTGTGAACTTAAGATGGCATAAAAAAAAAATGCAGGTCTCCTTCAAGAGGTGCTGAAGACAGCCCTCATCCACGATGGCCTCGCACGCGGCATCCGCGAAGCTGTCAAAGCCTTAGACAAGCACCAAGCCCATCTCTGTGTGCTTGCATCCAACTGTGATGAGCCTATGTCTGTCAACTTGGTGGCGGCCCTTTGTGCTGAGCACCAAATCAACCTAATTAAGGTTGATGACAACAAGAAACTTGGGGAATGGGTAGGCCTCTGTAAAACTGATCGAGAGGGAAAGCCACGGAAAGTAGTTGGTTGCAGTTGTGTAGTGGTTAAGGACTATAGCAAAGAATCTCAGGCCAAGGATATCATCGAAGAGTACTTCAAGTGCAAGAAATGAATAAATAAAAATTTTGGCTCAAAAAAAAAATGCAGGTCTCAAAATACAGGTCTTTGCTTCTGGCAGCCAAGTGCTGGGATGAAAGGTCCGAACCACCACCACTTACTCTGTGGACTTACTATATACAGCAGTGTCTCTAGATATTCTAAGATCTATCCAGGATCTATTCCACATACTATATACAGCGGTGTCTCTAAAACTCTAGGATCTACCCCACATACTGTATACAGTGGTGTCTCTAGATACTCCAGGATCTACCCCACATACTATATACAGCGGTGTCTCTAATACTCTAGGATCTACCCCACATACTGTATACAGCAGTGTCTCTAGATACTGCAGGATCTACCCCACATACTGTATACAGTGATGTCTCTAGATACTCCAGGATTTAACCCACATACTGTATACAGTGATGTCTCTAGATACTCCAGGATTTAACCCACATACTATATACACCAGTGTCTCTAGATATTTTAGGATCTATCCCACATAACTTTGAAAGCAAAGACTTGAGGCTTCCTTGTCTCTGGATATTATCCCTAATGACCAAGCCAGTTTCCTCTGGTGAGTTGAGGCTTCCTCGTCTCTGGATATTATCCTAAATGACCTAGCTAGCATCTTCTGGTGAACTGAATCCAGAAAAGTAGACATGCTTCCATGTGTCAAAGATAACAGATTTCTTCTTGTAATGGATAGATTCTGAATGTAATGATTCTGAATGGTAAAATTTTGCTGTTCAACTCAAGAGAAGCAAAGCTGTGGTTAACTATTTTGAAAGCCATATTTTGTGTTAGTGAATCTTCTTCAAAATGGATTGGGTCAAACCCTTAACAGTCATAGACAGCAAATTAGTTAGTTGAATTACCTGCAGACTCTCTGGGAAGCAGCTCATGCTAAAGGCTTCCTTCCGGAAGTAAACTGATAAAAAGAAATAATTATAAGGTACTTTGTGGTTGTTATACGAGAAAATTTATGGTAGAGTTACATCTGTATTAGGCATTTGAAGAGGCTAAGCAAGCCAAGCTTTGTCACGGCAGTGGGACGAACCCTGCTTGAGCATCAGTGTGCACTTGGCATTGCTTTCTGAAAAAGCAACTGTCTTAGTTAGGGTTTCTATTGCTGTGAAGAGACACCAGGACCATGGCAGCTCTTATAAGGAAAACATTTAACTCATGTGGCTCGCTTACAGTTTCAGAGGTTCAGTCTATTATACTCCTGGCAAGGAGCATGACAATAAACAGGCAGCCTTATGCTAGTTACATGTTGATCAGAAGGCAACAGGAAGTGGACTGGGACACTGAGCGAAGCTTAAGCAAGAGACCTCAAAGCTTGCAGGCACAGTGACGCTTCCTTCAACAAGGCCACACCTCCCAATAGTGCCGCTCTCTGAGTTTCTGAGGGCTAATTGCATTCACACTACCGCACAGACTTTGTCTGGTTGTGTAGGCAGCTTCCAGCCCTGCAACTGCACTGAGAAGCAGAGAGCCTCTCCCACGAAGCACATGAGCCTGGTTTCTTAAATGGACACAACCTTTAAAAAAATCATTTATTTACTTTGTGTGTGTACTCATGTGTGAGTGTACACCATGACATACGTGTGAAGCCAGGGGGTAACTTATAGACATTAATTCTCTCCTTCCCCCATGTGAGTTCCAGGGATCAAACTTAGGTCCTCAGACTTGGAAGAAAGCGTGTTTACCCACTGAGCTGTTTAACCAGCCCATATTTAGGTATAACCTTAGACTAGCTTAGCAAATGTTTTGGTCTGAATTAAACTCAAAGCAAACAATGACAATGATGAAGAAGAGGAAGATGGTGTTGATGAGAAGGAGGATGGTACTTTTTTAATTTTATTTATCTTTTTGAGACAAGGTTTCTCTGTGTAGCTCCGGCTGTCCTGGAACTTGCTCTGTAGACCAGGCTGGCCTCGAACTTGGAGATGCCCTGCCTCTGTCTCCTGAGAGCTGGGATTAAAGGTGTGTGACACCACCACTCAGTTGATATTGGTTATTATAGGTAATGCTCTGAACAAAATTCTTAGTGCTTTCTAGGTCACATTTAACATACCATTCTTCTATACAATATGTAATACTTTTATCCTCAGTTCTCAGAAGAGAAACTGAGGCAATGGAAACCAAGTAACTGGCGCAAACATGAAGAAAACCTACCTGCCTGATGGGTCTGCTGTCTTCCTGAGAGACGCTGTTGTGAGCCTTGCAGAGTTTATTGCAATAATCATATTTTATCAATAAGCCCTTGGCCTGTGTTGCCAGGCCTTATGAGAAACAGCCTTACAAAATTCACTGGCTCATGATCAGGTCATATTTTATTCATTACAACATCTTTTAAAATCCTATATAAGAAACCACAGAGAAAAAGTTTCACTAAGGGAAAGATTGCTCTGCTTCTCCAGAGCAAATAATTTGGAATTTGTATTATAGGAATACTGTGGTTTATGGTCCTGGGCCTCCCTTTCTGTGCCTAGAAAATGCAAAACTCAGTCTGAAACCGACCTCTGACACACACAGGACTGTACACCGTGTCTTCCATCTTCTGCCCTTGTTTTCTCTGGCAAATTTCTTCACTCACCTTGTTTTTATTCGTGTAACCAAAACCCACTTAAAATCCCTGTTGGGTTGAGAGAAGTCAAGATTGGCTACAGACAAAACTTGAATCTGGCTTTATCTGATCAACCACCTTTTCTTGGACAAGATCCTATGTGAAGGCTCAGATAAGTTTCTTTTCTAGATAGAAAGTGAACGGAAGGCAATTCTTCCCTGAATCAGGAGAAAGGCAGAAAGCTACTGAACACAGCGCCTACTGCCTTGCATTCAGAAAACTGATATTAATGGTGATAGTAGGAAATAAATAAATATGAATATCACATGCTGGGACTAAAGAATAGGACCTCTTAATTGCCACCCCACCAGTTCCCACCTGGGCACACACAGGTCTGCAAAGGGTGTGTCCAAACACACAACTGTTTGTGTACACAACCCCATAGCAGCATTTATTGCAAAGGATTCTGGGAAAGAAACACTCATTCCCCCCCTCCCCCCTCCCTGTGTAGACTCAAGGGAACAGACCGCAGCTATTGGCCTTCAGAATCTCAGGCTATTCCGTTCCCCAGACGCTCACTTAGCAACTTTTGTGAGCACGGGTCCATCTGTAGATTCTTGATATTAGTAAGCAGAACCAACAGCCACCTGGAGGCCTTGTGAACAGATGTTTGCTCTGGCTTAAAAATCTGCTGACCCTCAGGTTTCCAAACGGCAGACTCCTCCCATGTGACACTGGAGGTTATTGAGAGGAAGCCTCAGACTGAAGCTGCTTTTAAGTAATCTAGAGGGACGCTCGAATTCTGCCCTTAGCCTGTAAAGAGATTCGGGCTCTCCGATCAGTTGGGTCCGCATCCTCAGCTAAGGCCAAGGGAAGTGGGGACTGGAGCAGACACAGGGATAAGTGATGTTAGAACACAGAGGAGCCCAGACTTCATCCCACAAGTTCCGTGCCTGCTAGGAACTCTTTGCCTCTCAGCAGGTCCAGGTTTTTCTCCCTTTCAGCGCCCCATGCTTTTCTTATACCCTTGGCTGGGACATTCAGAGGGTGCCCGAGTGAAAGAGGGGACAGGATCATTAGGACAAAGTCCCAAATTCACAGAGTTGTGTTTGTACAGCCCTGTACACATTCGTCCTGAAAGGCAAATGGCGATTTTCTCTGAAAGAAGTCCCTGGGCTCTCTGAAGAATTTCTTCATGGTCTCCATGGTAACAGGTCCCCCCTCCCCCTTTCTTTTTCTCATTTTCCCCTGCTGCAGCGCCAGTAATCCTGCCTCTTTTCAGCACTCTTGACTACAGCCAGGTTTCCTGGCTCACTATCTTGGGGTCCTTTGAGCTGCTAGTGCTCTGACCTGATGTGACTATTTCCTTATGTCCCATTCTTGCATGCAAACAGCCTTAGGGACAGGAAGGGGAGATGACTGACTTGAGGGTCATTCCCATTAGCTGTCCTCATTGAGCTGCAGGGCTGGGAGCCTGCGGGGTCAACAAAACAGATTGCAGAAGTCAGCTGCTCCTACGAAGTCTCTTACTGATCCCTCCTGCCATCTGAATCACCTGAGGGTGATCAGGGAAGACCCAGAGAAGACCCAGGAAGGTTTAAATGAACCATTATAGAGAAGCTGGGAGTGGGCACATAAAAGCTATCCTAAGTGTTTTGTAAGCGTTGATTCAACTAAAAATTGTAGCAAATCTTTAGAAATGAGAAGCATTTTTTTTTCATTTCACAGATAAGAAAATGGTCCTTGGACTGTTATAACTTGTCCAAGGTCCCAGGCTAGTTGGTAAGAAGCGGGGATGGATTCTAATAGCAAGCCTCTGTTTTCTTGTTACTCAATCATGGCCCAGGTGAGAAAAGGTACCTGCCGGGGATCCTTGTTTGCTGTCCTGGAGCCTGGTATGTGGTGGTCTGGAGCTTTTGCTCTGAGATCTGAAGGCAGATTGAACAGGTTCCAGCGGGGATGGTGGAAGGAATGTTTCTGGCTGTCCTAGCAACACACCGGAACTCTAGGAGAATAATAAGACTGAGGCCAGCAAGAGAGCCAGCGTTGATGGGGACCGAACCACGTTACCTCCACACCACAGAACAGCAAGGGTCACCAGGCTGCATAGTGGACACCTTGCCTCTAGTTCAGGCTGAATCACAGAAACACTGGGGGGGGAGGGGCGCAGGGGTGCTCTTCTTCTGGATATCTGTGTCCAGGGTTGGAAGCCTACAAGTCTTGAAGACTTCAGAATCAAATAGTTAAGACAACATAGATCAATCCTCCAGACGTAGAAGATGGGGGATTCCAAAAAGTAGCAACTGAGGAAAATCCAGGGAAATGGGCAAGAGACGGTGCTCTCAGCCGGGTGGTGGTGGCGGCGGCGCACGCCTTTAATCCCAGCACTCGGGAGGCAGAGGCAGGCGGATCTCTGTGAGTTTGAGACCAGCCTGGTCTACAAGAGCTAGTTCCAGGACAGGCCTCCAAAACCACAGAGAAACCCTGTCTCAAAAAAAAAAAAAAAGAGAGAGAGAGAGAGAGAGAGAGAGAGAGTGCTCTCTCTTCACTTAGCACAACAGCACGTACCTGTTATCCCAAGCTGAGGGAGGATGGAGAGTCACGGGTTTGATGCCAGCCTGTGCTACCTAGGAGTTCAAAGCCTGCCTGGAGTACACACCAAGATACTAAAACAAAAGCAAAACCATGCTCTCCAAAAGAGCAGAAAGATGTTACCACCCCAGAATGGTTGTCAGAAGCCAGTCTGACTCTGCCCCTCCTCCCTGAGATGCTCCCACTAACTAAACAACAAAGTCATTACTGTGGAGACTTAGTTGATGTCATCCTCAAAGGTCAGACTCAGAGCCAGGGATTGCAGAGACAAAGAATTTGAGAAACCCATAAGAGCTAGGAATTCATCCCATAGCCTTGGGGGCCCACCCAGGTTGCCGCATGGGAACTCTCTCTATTAACCCCTATTGAAATCTTCTGAGTCTCACTTTCCATCTCTCTCGATTGGATCCAGAGGAGGAAGAAAACCTGTCTGGGTACCAAGGAGCCCATATACCTGGGGGCTAGCTGAGAGAGTAACACTGCCCTTAGCTCAAGAATTCTCAACCTGTGAGTCGTGACCCTTTAGGGAGCCAATGACCTTTCATAGGACTTGCAAATCAGATATCCTGTAAATCAGATTTTTACACTATGATTTGTAACCGTAGCAAAATTATAGTTAAGAAATAGCCACAAAATAGTTTGATGGTGGTCAGGACAGCGCAACATGAGAAACCAACTGTGTTAGAGTTGCAGCATTAGAAGATTGAGAACCATACCTCCGCTCATATCTTGACCCCCCCCCCCTTCTAATTCTGTACCCACTGGAGACAAAAGTGGCTCCTGGAGAGAGACACAGAGAAGAGACAGTCACCAGTTCAGCTCACTCTACCCATACAGCAACCAGAGGTGAGACCATTAGAAACAAAAAGTATTACCCCAGTTGAATTGTTTTTTGTTTGTTGTTGTTGTTTTGGGTTTTTTGAGACAGGGTTTCTCTGTATAGCCCTAGCTATCCTGGAACTTGCTTTGTATACTAGGCTGGCCCTGAACTCAGAGATCTGTCTGCCTCTGCCTCCAGAGTGCTGTGATTAAAAGACATGTGCTGCCACTATACCTGGTCTCAGTTATTTTTATAATGACTTTTTACCAGGTAAAGGAATGAGTCTAGAATTCAGAAACCGTAAAGGAGACAAACTGCTCAGTCTTAGCCCATTCCTACAAATCTCTGTGCAAGGAATTCTCAGTCTGCCATAGACACTGAATTTTTCTCTCCACGGAACATCATTCAGCAGTGAGGCAAGAATTAGGCCCCCAGCAGCAGCTTAGCTCCCCCAGAAAACAATGGAGAAACTAGATTCAAACCCAGGCTTCCAGAGCCATTTCACGTCTATGGCAAATAAAGAGAATCCCCTCCTCATTCAAGCTCTCCTTGCTTCACGTCTACTACGGAGGCAGCAGGATTGGTCCATCACCCTTTTCTTCTCTTGGTAGTAATTTAACACATAGGGTTTGGGATGTCATCTAAACTGAAAGACAGTGACAACTGGATGGAGAGACTGGGAAGTTGGATGGGTCACTGGAGGGCTTCTCCTGTAAGCACAAAGGCCTGAGTGTGGATCCCCAGCACCAAGTAAAATCATGGTACCTCAAATCTGTAGCCCAGCTTTGGGGCTGAGGGGAACAGAGATGAGATAAACTTGGGATCACTGACAGGCCAGCTCCGAGCTGAGAGAGAGAGAGAGAGAGAGAGAGAGAGAGAGAGAGAGAGAGAGAGAGAGAGGAGAGAGAAAGAGAGAGAGAGAGAAAGAGAGAGAGCGCAAGTAAGGGAGACACTTGATGTCCACCCTGTCCTACACACAGACACACATACAAAAGCATGAATGCATACATGCATAGGAACACATGAACACTTAGGACACACACAGAGATAGGAAAACTGGGTCGGGGAATAGAACTAAACAATTTCATTTCGCAAACGATTCTTATAAAAAAAAAATCATTTTGAACCTCTTTGCCTGAATCGTTTTCAGCCCTCATGGTGAATTTTCAGCCCTTGTGGTGGGAGTTCATTGGCCAGCACTTTCTCAATGGTCTCCAAACATGGCTGTTTACCAGATCGCCCTGAAAGGTGCTTTTCAGCTGTAATGACTGGGCTCCTCCAAGACCCACTGAGTGCAATCCAGCTGTTTGTGGTTTCAAAAAAATATCCCCCTGTGGTTCTGAGCTGGGGCCAAGGCTCAAAATCTAGAATGAATGTTTCTAGAAATAAAACTTTGTGTCTCGGTCCCAGTCCACATGCTTTGTGTTTATTACCTCAGTCGGTCCTTACACTGAGCTGTGAGACCAGGACTTATTACCCGCAAAGACAGGAAGCGCTCGGGTAGAGAGAAGGTACGTAACTCACCTCAGAGTTCAGAGTTTGGCGGGTCTGACGGTTGAACTCAAACATCTGGCTCTAGGACCAGTGCCGTCACCTGCCTCTCCCTCCCAGGAGAGGCCAACCAAGTGCAGGCCAGTGAGCTTGAGAATGGCTGACTTGGGCCGACTTGCTTCTCACTGAATCCTGTCGTCTCCTGCTCAGAGGTCCCTGTTTTACCAGGATGTCAATGTGTAAATGCAAGCACTGTTTATACTTATGCAAAGGGAATAAAGCCAAGCCGCACGTGCATGAGTTTGGCTATTGAAGTACTACGTAGGTGACAGAGGGTGAGGCTAAAGACTCACTGCCCTACCTCCCCTCAGTCCCCAGCAGCACCAAGATGACAAGAAGCTGGAGAAGGCAGACATGCTTCTCTGTTGTCTGTGTTCACATCGTCCATAGATCTTTCTCTCGGGTTGGCGGGAAGAGCCTCATTGTATTTGGGGGGCCTTCAGCTGTGGTCCCGTGTTGTGTTTTGAGACCCACGCTAAGCACCCAGGACTGCCAGTGCTAGTGAATTGCTCTTGTTCCTCCCGACAGGCTCCTCACAGTCCTGCTGCAACAATCCAGCCTCAGTGAGATCAACCATCAGGACGCGGAGGTGAGTAGGCTGTCCCCAGCCACAGTCCACATGCAACGGCAGAAGGCATCTTTTACACGCAAGCAAGCTTCTCTTTCCTACCTCCAGGCAGACTGCTGTCTGTCACTTGGGGTTGGGGCAGGGGCAGCTTCTTCCAGGGAGGAGGAGCTTTCTGGCATTAAGTACTGAAGCATTAATCATATGGCTGAAATTTCATCATTTCTCCCTGGGTATTCCCTCTCCTGTCTCCTTGAGTCCCCCAAACGTAAACCACAAGCCGTGGCTCCCCAGATGTGTTCTTTCCGGGTTAGGAGGACACGCAGAGTAGTCCCAGGCCAGCATTACTAGTCCCTGTTAATCATAATTGATGTTGCCTTCACATTGTTAAGTCAGCCTTGCAGACAACATCCAAACCATCAGCCCCCATCCCTGAGCACACAGTTCTAGGTCAGACCCTGTAGTGCTTCCCCCAGACCAGCTTAGGGCTTGATCATAGTCACGCCATGTTCCACGATGAGTACTGATTTTCACCAGCCGAGGGATTTCTGTTACAGTTGTCCCAAATCCAGCTAAAATCCCTGGGCTCTTAGTGGGCTTTCTGTATAAACACATGCTGGATTAGGTTGCTCTTCAGTAAGGAGGGCTAGTAATACTGAGAAAGTCTTGTCCCACTAAACACACACACACACACACACACACACACACACACACACACACGAGATGTCACGCTACACTGGTTTTGATAAATCAGCTGATCCCAGACGCTGAGATAGGAGTCAGCCACTCTTAGCTTCCTCCTGATCCCCTGCCCCCATTTGTCTTGAGTCTTTCATCTGCGGTCTCCCCGCAACCATCATGATGACCACGCCAAAAAGCCCCTGTTCAAACTTGGGTTTGAAACGGAACATCCCCCTGATTTGTGGTCACACACCGTGTTCCCTCTACACATCTTCAGTGATCCAAAGCCACACCTCAGAGGACGGAACGGCGCACCTTCTTAGACTCCTACTTTAAAAAGGAAAACCGGGGACGGGGTAGGAGCTGTGTGCACTGACCGCTCTGTGCCCACGTGGGAAGCGAGTGCTTGGAAGGTTACACTCGTGTCAGCACACTGGAGACGTCTAGACCCTGAGCAAGCCGGCGACTACTTCCTCCACCTCAGTGCCGCCACCCCCACCCCAAGTCTGATGTAGGTAACTGGTGATTGAGTTATCCATACCCTAGAGCCAAATTCCACTTGCAGGCCTGCAACCCTGGCTACTTTGAAGCTGAACTGACTGGTGTCCCCAGCAAAATCATAGTTCCCCACCACCCTACTCCTCCCATGGAGGCAGAGGGAAACACGAATCTTTCAAAGATCCCTGGTTCTTCCTCATGCAAAGTGACCTCTGTTTCAAAAAAAAAATTAATTAAAAAAAATCCAAGGGGCATAGTGGTGCACGCCTTTACTCCCAGAATAACTCAGGAGGCAGAGGAAGGAGGTTCTCTGTGAGTTTGAGACCAGACTAGTCTATATCTCAAGCTCCAACACAACTTCATAGATAGACAGACCCTGTCTCAAAACAACAACGAAAATTCCTCATGTTATCATGCCACCATTTAGGCCCACCAAATCCTGGGCTGAGAGAGTGGCTGTCTCAGTGATGACGTGCCCTGCCCAAGGGCACACTTGCTTCTTCAGCCTGTGCCTCAGCAGGTCTACACCCCTTTGAAACCTCTTTCTCATAGTGCCTACTGCAGAAAGCATGGCCTGCGGGTTGTGAGGTGCTCAGCCATTAGGGTGTCCGCACAAAACTTGGCTTTCAAATATGCTTGGTTTAGTCACACAAATATCTCTCATAGTACCATGCTAACAGACATGTCAGCAAGAGGGGAACAGCTGGTTGAGCAGAAGATACAGCTGCAGGATTCAACTGGGGGTTCTTCTATGGTGAGGATGCTTCTGGAGCTTTGTGGGCTCCTCTACAGTGAAGTCTCCTGTCAAGGCCGGGAGAATGGCACTGGTGGAGATTGCAGCCATGTGTGAGCCCAGCAACAGTGCCGGAAGTTCAAAGGTCACTGAAGCAGCCCCCCCCCCCCACACACACACACACACGCCAGTCTCAGGTCCTCTGCTAATGAGTATCAACACAAGAGACCAGAGAAACAGCATCTTGGGAATATGGCAGCAAGATCCTAGAGACCATTACCAAAGTTCCAAGTTTTGTATCATTTCACTGGGCTGTGGCTTTGGCCTATCTGAGCTCAATCACAGTGTGGGACTAGTCCACTAACATAACAATATCCCCTCTGGGTCGCATGGCTAGTCCCATTAACACATCAGACTCTCTTATCAGAACTGCTTGGTGACTAGCTTAGAGGCCTATTCTAAGTCACACAAAATGGTTCCACTTATGTTCCTAACACCTGCCTGCATCTGCATTAAACATGAATGTTCAATACAGATTCAGTCCTCTGTATTGGTGGGGAACTAGTCCCGAGTCTCTCTAGGATATCAAGAATCTGAAGCTCAAGTGCCTTCTGTAGCACAGTGCCTCTTTTGCCTGTAACCCATGCGCATCTTCTCTCGGACCTCAGCTCTTCCCTAGATTACTTCCAATACCGCGTGCAATGTAAACCATGTGTTAATTATTGTTATACTGCATGGTTCTATGACAAGAAAAAGCTCCTTCCATGATTAAGACAGGTATGATGTCCACATTGTTTTAAATCCTCGTGTGGTCGAATCCATGGATGTGAAGCCCACAGATGTGATGTTCTTATGTTGAGGAAACGTCCTACGTGAGCTCAGTGGCTTGAAGCCATTCTCCTGAGGTCCAGTTTTTGTATCATCATATTTTCTTTCGGTCCAGTAACTTCAGCGCCACAGTTAACATTAGAAAGACCCTCACCAATTCCACCCCGACCACCTTCATCTCCAGGTAATCACATCACCTCCTAGTCTAGCCATAAGTTCAGAAAAAAACACAGAATATCACAGAGAAGGCATTACACTCTATGTGTTGTTCCTTGAGTTTACTTTCTCCCTTCTCCATGTTCATGGATAGAAATCTGGTTCATTCCTTTTGATGACTTCATAGTGTTCACACAATGAAAATACTTTGGTCCGTTTAACCACTCCCCTGGAATCCAGGTTGTCTCCCAGATTTTCTACCATCGGTCCGCTAATCTAAAACGCAGTCTCATATGAGTCTCCTTGGGTCCCTTATGGGAGGATTTCTCTAGAAAAATAACTCTAGCGTGTTTGTTTCTCGTTTGATACATACTGCCCACCTGTTTCTCAAGACGCCCATTTGCAGCCCCACCAGTAGGCTAGGAAGCCCTCTTCTGTGTGTTGCTTGGTTATCCCCTTAAGTATTTGCCTTCCTCACTTGATATTGTATCTTCCATGCATTTGACGCTCTTTCTGGATCTTCTTTCACGATTTCCATTCATCTACGGGGTGCTTGCCATTTTCTTGTTGTTTCACATCTGAAAGCTGGTCTTTGGCCTCTGCTGGGTTTTAAATATATTTTCATAGTGCCATGTTCAGAAACTTGTGAGTGCCATGTACTTACTAGATGATTGTTCTTGCCTGGTACTGATTTTGCTTTGGGTACCTTTTTTTCCCCCCTCTAAAGAATGCCTATCTACCCTCAGAAACTTAATTGCAGTGTGCTAAATTTTCTCCCAGTTTGTCTGCGGTTTCACTTCTGAACCCTTTGTTCTAGTCCAGTGATCAGCTTGCTTTTTCCTGTTTGGTTCTCACCGCACTGTTTGATTGCACAGTGACTTCTGTAGAAGTTATCCACACTCTCGGGTTTCGCACGGTGGGAAAGGCAAGATGGGTCTCAGGTGTCCTGTGCATAGTTAGTCTAAGAGGAGGTCAGAAAAATCGCTGGTTTAGAGAGAGGCTTGTCTTTTTCAGAGAGAGGGAGTTACCGAGTTGCTAGCCTCCCCTGCTCTCATCTGAGCTTTCGTGGGAAGAACACCCCATCCCAAGAGGCCATGAGCTGTTGGCGTCTGGGTTAGCTGTCTCGGTGCATCCACCCAGAGGAGAACCATTATGCATAGTATTTAGCATGCAGTGTGGATCTTAGGCACAGTTTCATTGCAGTAGGTTTTTAGAAGCAGCCTCATAATCCAGATACCAGTTATAACAGTACTCGGAGAAAATAAGTTCAGCTTGCAAAACCGGATGTGAAGTTCTGGACGTGAGTCACAGCTCTAGTTGCATTCTTTGCATTCCAGATGTGTAACCCTGGCCAGTGTGCACTCAAAAGCAAGATCAGAAGACATTGATCCTGACTCCAGAAGTCTCACCTGACAGCTAACCAACGGCAAAATGTTATAGCATTTCTAAATACCCCAAAACTTTATACTAAAACTGACCATATTTCAAAATGGAGTAAGGTCATTACTACTCAGCAGCCCTTAACTCCCTCCATCCCTGATCCTCGAACTCCTGTGAGAATGTCTCTTCTTCCATCTTTGTATCCTTGACTCCATCCCAGTGGATATTAAAAGGTGTGTGTGTGTGTTGTGTGATGTTTGTTGTGTACGTGTGTGTGTGTGTGTGTGTGTGTGTGTGTGTGTGTGTTTGCTGGAGAGATTACTAAGTGGTTAACAGAATCTTCTACTCTTGCAGGACTCCCATATTTAGTTCCCAGCACCCTTGTCAGGGTGACTCACAATCACCTAGAAATCCGTCTCCTGGAGTATCAATTCCCCCACCTCCATAGACACTGGCATCATACACACACACCTTAAAGTATCAAATATTTTTAAAACTATGTGCATATAGGCAAATAATTTATCTTAATTAATATGATATATACATTATATATATATACATTGCATATAAATACACATTATAGAAAGAAGTTGAAATTTTTAATCCAAGAAAAAGTCACACGATTCATGTTATTTTTACATTAATGATCCTTTCCCCTGTTTGTTACCTAACTTGATTATACATTTCACAAATCAGACAAGTCTAGGTGACATTAGTTATTTCTGGCATCTACTCCCAAAAATAAGAT